TCTATCTGCCCCCTTTCGGATGCGGTGCCGTGCTCCCTTCCCTGCCACTGGCAGCTGGGGCTGAGCCCCTCCGGGGAAGGCGAAAGCACAGATTCCCTCTAGACCTCGAGGTCCCGGCCAGAAACGTCAGCACAGTACCAAGAATTCAATCCAAAAATAAATAGGCCCAGGGCTGCCGGCCAAGGACACGTGGGGGGGCCCAAGGCGCGGCAGCACGGACGCCCCCTCAGCGCCGCACCGGCCACGAGGAAGGGCTGTACGAGCGCCGGGAGCGGGCGCTGGCCAGCACCGGGCAGGCGCCGGAGCATCCTCAGGGTGGCTCGGCATCGCTCCGGCCGGCCACGTGGGCTGGGAGCCCCCTCTCCTGCTCCCCGGCCAGCAGGACCGAGAATCAGGCCCCCTGCGACTGCATAACATACACAGGTATAAATAAGGATCTTTTTATCTTAATAAATATCAGGTATATGGTTTGTACAATATACACATAATGCCCCTGTCTCCTGGGTCCAGCCTCGCAGCGAGGGAGGATTCACACGTAGTTCTCTTCAGCGTTGTCCGTCTCTGGGGAGAATTTGGCCGCAGCTGGAAACGGAGCAGCAGAGGGGGAGAAGCGGTGAGAGGGGTGCGAGGGGCGGCCAGACACTGGGGCTCCGAGCCCACTCCCCCCCGCCGCCTGCCCCCGGGACGCCCCGCTCACCTGAGCAGCTCCCGTAGTGGCGCACACCGATGGAGCGGCCGCGGTGGCAGGGGGCCCGCCGGGGGGGGCACGCCGGGGGGGGGCGGCGGGGGGGGCGGGCGCCCCGCCGGAGGTGGCACGCCGAGGGGTAGGTGACGTTGTTGTTGCCACAGAGAGCGTGGTCCAGGCTGGTGGGCTCGGGGCAGGGAGCCGTCCGGCACATCACGCAGTGGGCGCTGCCCGTCTGGTCCACCACGCAGGTGTGGGTGCCGGGGCACACCACGCTGGAGCAGGACTCTGCGGGGAAGCACACGTGGCTGCGGCTGAGCCTCGCCGGCTGGGGTGAGCTGGGGACGGCCGTCCTCCTCCCACAGCTCCTCCAACCCAGGCGGGCAGCGGGCATCGTCCCAAGGAAGCCCAGGCAGCTCGGGCCCCCTCCCACCTTTAGCTGCCAGGGGCCGGAGGGTCCCAAGCTCCCCCATCGCCACTGCTCCCAAGGACAGGAGCTGGCAGGGGCCGATGTCACAGGTGCAAGGGACCGCATGGCCCCGCAGCCCTTGGGCACGGCCCTGGCCGGAGCCTCGCCACATGGGGAGAGCCGATGTCCGGCTGCAGAGCCTGAGCGCATGGGGCTGAGCCTGGCTTTGGCCAGTGGGACCTGGCTGGGGCAAGCGGCCCCACGCAGGTGCCTTGGCAGGAGGAGCAGCAGCCGCTCCGGCCGGGCTGGCAGCCCCCGCAGCCGCCGCGCTGCACGCCCCGGTGAGAGGCAAAGGGCAGGGTCACCCTGGAACCAGCCCAGCCCTGCGAGTGAGGGCGCGCGGGGGCGGCAGGAGCCTGTGCAGACAGGATCAGGCCCTGCACAGAGCTCTGCCGGGCTGGCGCAGAGCGGGGGGCTCGTGCACCCCCCCATCCCGCAGCAAGACCCCGGGGGTCTGCGCAGCCTGCCAGCCCC